TTGAGACTCCGGTGATCTAGATTGCGAATTGCTCGTCTTTTCATCTTGCTTTTAATTGATTGCTCGTTTTAAGTGCTCGTCTAGTGATAATCAAACCCCCAATCAATTGCTTAGAATGTTTAGGACTTTATTTTCGATTTTTGTGATTTGGACGATCATATAGTAGACGAAGCTCCGAATAGCCTTCCTTCGAGATCGACCCGAGTCGGGTAACTCGGTTATCCTTTGCCCATCATTTATAAGCTTAACACTCCTAAAATTGTCATACATACATTATCTTCGTTCCCAGATTTTCAAAACTATCCTAAATGTGAAAATTTAATGAGTCTAATTTTAATGAATGATTCATATTTAAAGTAAATTCACTATTTATTTTTATTTAATTAATTTTAATTGTAACTATTTTCTAATGAGTACACGTATTATTTTTTTTCCCAAAACGATAGATAATATTATAAATCAAAATGCACAAATGTGCGAATACACATCAGCCAACGACTGAATACATAGCAGCCAACAGTTGAAAAAGTGGGAGGACAGGTCAGAAGACCGCCTAGAATCCCGACTAGCAACGCTAGAATAAAACACTCAACAACTAAAACAACCGACTACACGACTACCAAACACAAACTAAAACTAAACCAAACTAAACTAAAAAGACCCCAACGGGGTAATGCCCGAGTGTGGGATCCCAATGGGATAATAAGGTCACACTCGGGTAAATCGAGACCAACGGCCCAAACCTAAAACACAAATACAAACACAAATACATAAGTAGACACAAAACATGAATAAGAAAACCTATACTATTAATGAATATGGCTCTTCCCCAACGAAATGCTAAAACCGACCCCGAGCACTAGCGAAAAAAGACTAACATCCTACAGCGAGACCGAAAATTCAGAACGACACTCCCGCCACTGCTTAATGCCTAGCAAGGAACAAGTCCCGAACATCGAACCACTCCAAGGATGAAGCTGACCCGAAGCTAGAGGAGTATTGACCCGTCCTCCACACGCCAGTAACCTGAGACCCGGCCAACACCACTGGCCAAGGTTCGGGCGTACCGGCATCCCAGAACCGCAACACTAGCGGAAAGGGGACCTGAGGGCAAGAATCAAAACCCCTCAGCCCCCGGCCGCCGCAACTTAGACGAGCCGAGCAGCCAGGGACGCACCCAAAAACCCAACTACGTACCTCCTGCAGCAATCGGACCCAAACCGGAGGGAGAGCCGTCGAGCCCACCATCGACCACCATCACGAGACATAGCCGACAGAAGAAAGCTGGAAAGTCACCGTCGGGGCCGAGAAACTTACCCGCATCAGAAGTGGAGTCAACGGCAACCGAACATGGACGGAATCGACAAAAGACTTCCGGAAATCCACCAACGGCGACCTCCAGTAGAACAACCCCGGCCGACGAAACAAAACTCATCTCCGAAAGGCGAGATCCGAGAAGAAAACGCGCAAATTGGGCCATGGGAGCGCTGCTACTAGTCATCCACCGGCCAGAGGCCGGCTGTTCGCCGGGGAAGGCAAGGAAATTGACAGTGGCGAGAAGGAAGAAGGGAACGATTTGGGGAGGAGGGTTTTCACGCTTTTAGAGAAAAAAAATTCTATTATCACTTTTGAGTACACGTATTATAAAATTCAAGATTCAAAATTGAATTTTAGTTATTTTATTTTATTTCTGTAATTAATCTATTTTTGTTTATATTACAATTCAGTAAATATTATTTTAATTCATGTAACACATTATTATAAAAGACATTTATACTATACATACTATTAAGAGGTAAACATAATCATATTATGCATATTGTTTTAGTGAATAATTTAAACAAATATATATGTTAAGATCATATCTTTTTTACTTAACAAATAACTTTTTTCCATAGAAAGTTGACATTTTGTATGTTGAATAATTATATTTGATTCAATCATTCTTAAACATATGCATGTTCACTAAATTGTTCCTGTTTAATTGTTTCAATACTATAATAAAAAAAATTTTATGGTAAACAATATAATATTTAGAAATTAAATATGATACTTTTAGTGGTGTATTATATAATTCACACTTATGAAATATCATATATTTTATTTAAGAAATATTAAAATAATTTTTCTCTTACATTTTAAAATGCCTTTAAAATAACCAAATCGAAACCTAACATCATATGTAGATTAATTCAGAATAATATAATTAAGAATAAATTATTATTTAAAATATATTAATTTGTGTAGGTAATGTTTTGTATGTGTAAGAACTTAAAGATATAATTAAGAATTAAAATTAAAATATAATAATTAAAAGTTGTAACTTCTTAGCATGAATAAGAAAATTACATTAATAACCTTAAAACTTATCTTTTTATGAGGATATTCTTGGCAATTCAAAAGTTTCAAAAACAACTCATACTTTTAAGAAGTTATAGATAGATAGATTATAGATATGGATTGATTATAGATAGATATAGATTATAGATAGATAGATTATAGATTATAGATAGATAAATTATAGATTATAGATAGATAGATAGATAGATTTTTTTTTTTT